CGGCCTGCCCGCCGCCCCTTCTCCTTGTGTTTGCCTCGTCCTATTTAAAGCAAAGCCCGCGGCGCTGTGCCCCGGCGCCCGCCCGGCGTCTGAGCCCGGGCGGGCGCCGTTTCGGTGGAAAGCGTCGTCTGGCTTCCCTCACAAGCGGGGAGCTGGGCCCGCCCGGCCCAGGTTTGTCCAGAACGGCGTGGCTGGACGTATCGTTGCCGTATTAAAGGTTTCTTTTATCCAGGCATTTCCCCTCACAGCCGGTAAGCCCCCGGCCTCCTGCGAGCCGCTGGTTTGTATCACACGCGATAAATGAAACAGCCTTGAGCTCGACTAGGAGCGAACGTGCAATTCCTAGTTGTGACAGCCTTTTAAAAACCCATTTTCTCCACTAAAACCTTGAGTGCTTTCCAAAGGCGCTGTCTGCATAGCCTAAAGAGTCTGCAGAAGTGTATTAAATAGGTAGGATAATAGATACGTATTAAATGGGAGGGATGACTGGCAAGCGCTTATAAGTGATTCAGAGGAGTAGCAAGCGCTGTCACTTATAAGTGCCAAGTGACAGCTTTTTTTACTATCGGATGGGTATGTGACAAGTTTTTAGTACTCCATCGTGACAAATGTACAGCCAATACCTCTTAGAAACAAGGCTGAGAAAAGGGCGTGCAAGAGGCAACCAGGCTTCTGCTGTAGAGGCAGATGCTCAGCCCTTGCCAATCTAGGTCAAATGCAGTGTTTTAAAAGCAAAAGCACATCTGGAGCAGCACAGAGAGCAGTTGCTGCGAATCAGGCACAGCGCGGCTTCATGCAGGATGTGGCACTGGAACTGGCGGTCCTGCTGGCTTCCAGGTTTTATGAGGCAGCAGGACTTTTTCTGTGTTTGTGCTCCTGGAAACAAGGAAAAAAAAAAAAAAAGAAAAAAATAAAAAGCCTTTTTATGACCCTGGGGAGTGGGAAAAGTGCCAGGCAGCTGAAGGGCAGTGAATTCAGGCCAAAGACCTGTGCCAGGTTATTTTTATGCATGTTCCAATCGTCCAGCTGAATTCCCAGGCCCCCTCATCCGAGGGGTCAGAGCGTAGGTTACCTTCAGTTTCTGGGTGCCACCGCGTGGTGCCACAGCTAACTGCACCCCTCCCCGCAGCGGGCGCAGGCAGCCTCTCCCACGCAGGCAGAGCAGCCTCGAACCACCAGCGCTTTGAGGCTGTGGAGCTACAGAGCGGGGGCGGCAGCCCGAAGCTGTGCTCACTGGCTCTTCCTGGACCTCGTCACCTTCATCTGCCATCAGATACGTGCGCGGTCGCTGGCTTTGCGCCCTGGGAAACTCCGAGACGCCCTTCCTAACTCTGCTTTGCTCCCTTTTTGTTCTTTCAGGCTAGGACGGGGTGAAATGGCAGCCTCTTCCTCATCCTCTTCAGCCGGCGGAGTGAGCGGCAGCTCTGTAACGGGATCGGGGTTCAGCGTTTCGGACCTGGCGCCACCCCGAAAAGCCCTCTTCACTTACCCCAAAGGAGCTGGCGAGATGCTGGAAGGTGACTGCTCCCAGCCTTCTCCTTCCCCACTCCTGGTGTGCAGGCAGCCCTGCAAGGGAGTTGCCGAGCTTGGCACCCCGCTGTTTTTTCGTACTTTAGATGGCAAGAGCTGGGGGGAGGAAGGAAGCACCAGGGCTCAGGTAGGTCCTGAGCAGCTCCGGCTCTCCCACCAGTTGCTCATGAGGAAGTGATTTTTCTGGCAGTCACCTGTTTTTTAGCTCCATGACAACACTTCAGATGAGGAAGCGATCTACCTGAAAAGGAACATGACGGTGTTAATTGCTCATTGTTAGCTATTCCTTTGATGTCGGGCAGGAATTGCTATAAAGATAGCTGAGGCAGGAGTATTTTTCTTGGCAAAATGCATTCTGGGGTTGGATTTGACTGGGCTGGTACAGGAGGCAGCTTGTATCCTTGCTGGCCAGGAAACGTAAGGCTTGGTTTTGCCCTTGACCCACGTTAAAACCTCGCCGCAGAGGTCTGTGAGAGGATAAATCAGGTCTACACCTCTCTTTTAATCCTTCAGGGCTGAGCATGTTCCCCTTTTGGTCTCACTCTTGTCGGGGTGTTTCTCCAGGGCCGCCTGGAGAGGGTCGGGGCTCTGATCCAGCACGGCGTCTTGCCTCTGGGTGCCCGAGCGCTGCCACCCGCTTTGTCGGGGCTGCCCGAAGGAGGACCCGGGCACATCGCAGCTGCAGGTCCCTGCCCCTGCTCTGCGTCAGGGAGGAAGGGCAGGTCCTCCAGATGACAGGGTTAAGCCAAGGTCTGTCTGTCTGCTCCTCTTGAACTTCCCGTGTCACCATTGACTGCGTCAGCCTGAAGTTCATTGGGGTGGCCCTGCAGCTCAGAAGTGACTGCGTTCCGGTAGAGACGAACACAGCAGCGCAGGGCAGCTGGGAACTGATCGCTACATCGTTTAAGGACTGTTTTTATTACACATTAGAGCCCATATGCCAGTCTATTGAAGTAATTATGACTAAAGGCTTGCTCATAGAACTTAACAAGCCCTCAAAACAAATTAAAATAATGAAGCACTTTGTGTTACCAAATAGACAGACAGCTGTTCCTCCTGAGAGCCACTCGGCAGGACGGCCGGGCTGGGGCGTTGGAGAAGAGGGAAGGGTATATTTGGAAATAGCACGGTGCAGTACCAACACAGCATTTCAACAGCTTGCAAGAGGATGCTCTGAGCATGGTGAAACTCTGACTCTTCCATCTTACCTGGGGTTCAGCTTTGGATTAGATTTTCCAGGGCCAGGGGTCTGTTTCTACCCTGAGTCTTAAAAATGGCTTCTCTTCCTCGTTTTTACGGCATGGAGCTTTTATTTGATTTTGCTTTGGGCTGACCTGTTTGCCAGTAACATGGCAGTTTGTCTGCTCTGGGTGGCAGCAACAACTAAACACTGTCCCTGTGGCAGGAAGCTTTAAGTTAGCTTTTTAATTTCTGAGATAAAAGGTGATACACCCATTCTTTCGTCAGGCGGGTGCTAGTGGGGTAGCTGCATACCAGTTTCCCCTTCAAAAATCCCCACTAACCGACTGATTTTTATTGTTATTTTAACCACCTTGCTTGTTTTTAAATAAACCCTTAGTTTTGGGGTTTTTTTTTTTTTTTAGAAGGAAGTAGTATAAACTATGGCAGTACTTGGCACACAATTAGCTATGTATTCCAGATTGCTGAGACAGTTGTGTGATCAATTGCTGACCTAGATGGCAAGATACACATTATTTGAAATCCTTTATGCGGGGTTATGGTCGAAGCCTGTTGGAAATCATAAAGCATTGTAAGGACACAAGTGTCTGAGCCCCGAGGGAATTGGAGACTGCTGTAATATTAGCTGGCTTTTCCTTAGCTTACCTTCTATTTAAAATGGACTAAAATTGCTTGACAGAGGGGGATGTAACACAATATTAGCCGGGATGTCTCCCAGGTAGCACAGCCATTCCCCAGCGGCACCAGGAGCCAAGCCAAAGCCCCGCACAGGATTTGAGCATGGGGCCGTACAGGCCAGAAATCGGAGTGCTGCACACTTGGCGCAGGGGAAACTGTCGGAACGAGGCAAGTGGGGAAACCCAAACCTCGAACATAAAAACAGAAAGTCAGCGGCACTCAGTTAAGGCTGCGCAGTCTTAAAACTCTCAGATTAAACCACCTCCCTTTTTCTGTTTACAGATGGCTCTGAAAGATTCCTCTGTGAATCTGTCTTCAGCTATCAGGTGGCATCGACATTAAAGCAAGTGAAACACGGTAAGCACCAAAGCGCCGTCTATTTTAACTGCATGTCGATCGGGGAAGATGGCAGGGGAGCGGGGAGAAAAGGCTGACAAGTTCTTGGGTGCTGACCACAAAAAAGCAGAATAGCCTTTTAAGTTGGCGAATTAACGCTAAGTCAGGCCATCGTCGAGTCCTTTTGCAAGCCCTATGCAAAGCGACGGGAACCCACACAGCCTGGGTGGGAACAGGCTGTGCCTTTCGAAGCTTGTTTTTCCATCGCTGTGTGCTGTGGCTGCCTTCAGGAGAGGTGAGGCCAGAAGAGGAGGTTATGGGCAGGAAACGCCCACGCTGTGATCTTGGCCCAGCGCTGGCTGTCTCTCTGGCCTCGGGCAGAGACACTCGATTCCACCTTTGCTTCTCTGCCGAGCCCTGGTGACACCATCGGCAGGGTCAAGCGAGGTTTCCAAAGGTGCTGGGAAGACGGACACACGGGTGCCCGGCGTGGCACAATGGGGGTGACTCCGCTCCCTGCCTCCCCAAAAAAGAGCCTTACGTCTCGTTTGAACTTCTGCTTCCCTCCCGGGGCCTTCGCCCGCTGCCCAGGTGCCTGTAACTGAACGATGGGCTTGACTGCACGGCAGCTTTCATTCTCAAGATGTTGGGCAGAGCGCAGCACCCGATGGCCTCTGCTGCTTGAGGGTCACATCCTTTCTGGTCCCCGCCCCTTGTCAGCTAGAATGGGTTGTCTCTGATCGTAGAGGTTTCCTGTCCTCCACCGGCAAGGGTTGTCAGGAGGAGGTGTGGGGGCGTGCAGCAGCTTGCCAGGCCGTGATCCTGTATTTCTGAGCCAAAAAGCAAAGCCGAACTTCAGAGCCATTGTTCCCACAGCTCCGGCGCTACTGCGGCTGTAGCTACTGGGGGCTGCTGCGCAGACTGGCATCCTGATAACCACCAGCTTTTGAAACTGGTTTGTGGAGCACGGGTCGCCTCCCTTTAAGAAAGGGGGAAGGCTTAAAAAAAGATCGAGGTCATCGTTTTTTTGGCTTGCTTGTTTGACAGTTCCCAAAAGCACTCAGCTGCGGGAGGTGGAGTGAGAACAGTCCCTCTTAAAAGCACCCACTGCTGCAGTCAGCATAAATCATGCACATTTTATGTTACTCCTCTCGCTAGTAAGTTGGCTCGTACTGGGCTGTTTTTCCAAGAGGCCGCTGTGCTGTTAAAACTTCCAGCAGAGCCAAGAGAAGAAGGGCTATTCTCATCTCCATACTACTGCAGCTAATTTAATTGAAAATGGAGCCTGCGTGCCCAACGCGCAACCGGTTTTAAATAAAGCCGAGAGGAACAAGTTGTCTTGGGGATCCCCAGGGAGGCGGCCCGTCTCTGTGCGGGGACCTTCGTGCCATTAGCATGCTCTGATTGCAGTCCTCCTCAAAGGACCTTCGTTAAAACGAGGAGTTCCTTGCACAGCACCCAGCTCTACCGTGGGCTGACCAAGCTCTCTCTGAACTTCTCTGTTCTTTTGCATTATAAATATTTATGCTAAAGAAATGAGCTTCATCCTGTTTTCACCCCCATACGCTAATCGGCCTCGCGTTTCCCTGTTAGGACTTGAATTTACATGGCACGGGCAGGGATGGGTAAATACACATCAGCGCCGGACGAGGCAGAAAAGCCCGTCCCTGCTTCCTCCTGTGATCTGGCGAGGTCTCGCCATGGGCACAGGGCGTCATGTGGAGTGGGTTTGTATTCCAGTCGGCTCGGTGGGTTTTATTCTACTCTGTTCCCCATTGACAGCTGGGAATTTGCATCTAATTGAAAGGTTTAATTGCGCTGTCATTGCAAACCACAGTTACCTTTGAACTTCTCGCAGATCAACAAGTCGCACGGATGGAAAAACTAGCCGGTCTGGTGGAAGAGCTGGAGGCAGATGAGTGGAGGTACAAGCCAATAGAGCAGCTCCTGGGATTCACTCCCTCCTCGGGCTGAGCGTGTCTGGATCGCTGCTGTCAGGGAGCAGAAGAAAAACATTCTCTGGCCTGGCTTCAGAACACACCCCCATTTATCAGGATGCTGACAGCTGCATCAGCAGGACAGGGCTTTTTTTTTTTTTTTTAAGTTGAGAGTAGGGATCCCCCGTAAAGCTGCCAGTAAATGGAAGTGACAGGATTCTTTAAGTCATCTGCAGCGTTACAGGCTGGCAGGGCTCGGCTTCTGTAACTTAGAAGGTAGGATCAGTTTTACAGAACTTGGAGAATCGCCTTCTTGTTTACAGAGGAGGGAAGACTGACAGCGTGGTGGCAGGGAAGGCAACCCAGTAACAGCCTGGCCTTTCCCCGGCGCATGGCCGAAGGACTGGGCGATCCGCAGGCTGGGAAGCCTGCGTCTTTGCCGCTCGAGCCGGGCCTCTGTAGAGCAGAGGTACGACAACGCCCTGCCAGAAACGCTCTTCAGCCCTAGCCGTTGTTTTGGGGGATGAAGAGGACGAGAACTGTCCCGGGTCGGTTGGGAGGGGGCAAGCGGTGACGCTTTCTCCAGAGGTACCCCGTGTGTCGCCAGAGCTGTTTTCTCCCCATTGCTTGTGTCTCTTGTGTCTGCACAGCGACTGCTGGTAGGACACCGCTCTCTGATGCCCAAGCTGTATCTTTAATACCCTGGAACTCTTTTTCCTCTTTATTCTACATCAGACTGCTCTGTGGTAATAAAATAATTCTGTCTTTGAAACCGTTTATCTTTCCAAAGCTTGGTGCGGGGAGGGTCCGATGAAAGAAACGATCAGCTGCTCGGTAGGTACCAGGAGGTGTTATGAAGCTCAGAGGCAGCTTGGCTGTTACGATGGTCAACTTAAGCGCGATTTAAAAAAAACCCTCTGAGAGGAACCAAACCACGCTTGCTTTACACTCAAAAGTGGATTGATTTAAATCAGATTTTAATCCTGGTTTAACTCTGCCAGCAGAAAACCCTTATTTAAATCCATCCATTTTAATCATCTTGTTTTCCATTTGCACTTCACTTCTGTTCTTGAGGGGAACTGGATTTCCATTTTCTGGCATAACCATTTCAACATGTTAATTTTCCTCTGATGAGAGCCTTAACACCACGTTTTTGCTAGCCAGCAGGGGGATATGCTCAGCACTGTATTTAAGCAATTGTACGACTTATTGCTCCAGATGCCTAATTCTTCCATTTTCAACATCTTATTTATGAGATTATTTTATTTTTACTCGCTATTTCAGTCCAGCCCCATCTGGATTGAAACAGATTCATTTCAGTCCATCCCCGTCTTAGTGATATCACCAGCAATTTGCGTTAGCTAAAACTACTGGTAAAAAAAGTATGCAGACACGTTCTGTGTTCGTTTCTGGTTATAAATTAGTTCTAGTATCAGAGCCAGCTTTTCGTCGCCCAGAGCTGCACGCCGCCCAAAAGCCAGCCTCGATCTAGAGACGAAGCCCCAGTTCCAGCTCCGCACCGGTGGAAATCACTGTGGGGTTTCCGAAGCCGTGTACGGGTGTTCTCACATCAGGCTGCAGCTCCGCTGAGACGTGTCCCGTGCCGCCTCCCCCCCGCCCGGGCCGGAAAACCTCCTCCCCGCTCCTGGAGGGCCGCCAGCCCTTGCCCTGCGAGGGCCTGCAGCACAGCGAGCGGCTCCTCGGCCGGTATCGCTTTAAACGTGATGGCATTTGGTATTAGAACTCCCATCCCAGACGGGGTTATTCTGAAAAGAAAGGAGCGTTTCAATCATCAACTTGTTTGTTTGTTTGTTTTATATCATCTATTTTTAATCCTGCTTACTCCAGCCACCTAAACCTACTTTGGCCAAACTTGCCAAAAATACGCCCCGTATCAAGATGGCATTGTGGGGTTTAGGAAGGGAGCCGTGCCCCTTCTCCCGCCGACGGCGCCGAGTCCCACCCGCTCGCTGACCCTACGTGCTGCGACCGGCGTAATCGGCTGCAGCGAGAGCTTTTCCTTTTCACTGCTCGACGTGAGGCTTTTCCGCTCCGCCAGCCCTCCGGGGACGCCGGGGGATCGGCGCCTGCGGCTCCGCCGATGGGATGCAGAGCACAC